TAACCGTTGCAAAACACTCATACTAGCTGTCCTAGTCTCCTATGCCATAACCAACTATCATGTTCATCCATAGCAACTAGGCATAAATTAGTCATATCAAAATAATATAAATGCACCATGTATATGTTTCCTATTCTATGACCAACAAGCATAATCCGATTAGATGCAATGTCAATGACTTTACAACCATTAATTTCAAATAAGACATTGAATCCTTTATCGCATAATTGACTAATACTCAATAGATTATGCTTTAATCCATTCACATATAAAACATTTTTAATTTGTATGGAAGAGGTATTACCTATTGTACCAATACCTTCAATGTGACCTTTTGAATTATCTCCAAAAGTCACTTCTCCTCCATTTTTGGCGTTAAGCTCAATGAACCGGCTTTTGTCTCCGGTCATGTGTCTTGAGCATCCACTATCAAGGTACCATGAATTTGAATTTGTTTCCCGTGCCTTGTAGCAATGCTCCTTTCCCTACAAACATAGATTAATTTTTTTATTTTTGGTACCCAAATTCTTTTGGGTCCATATTCATTAGTTTCCAAAATCCTAGTCCCCTTAGGTATCCATTTGTGTAGGATATTTTTATCTTTAGTAGTAATAAGTTCTTTAGGAACCCACATACTTCTAACGATTTTTCTATTAGAGGTTCTTTGGGGACCTCTATGATTGTAGTTTCTAAAACTTTTTCTAACAAAGTTGGATTTTGAATTTCCACCTTTTTCAAAATGTTTTGTTCCAACTTTATCAAAAGAAGTTTTAAGATCATCAATTTTCTTTTGATGATCATCATTGACATTTGAAAGTAAATTTTGCAAATCTAAATTTTTCTTTTCAAACTCTTCTAGTTTGATTTGCAAATCTTTGATTTTACTTTCAAGATCGTTGTTGGTTTTGGATATGAGTTTGTTTTCATTTTTCAATTTTGAAACATCATTTTTATATTTTAAAAATAATTTCTCATAATCTGAAGCCAACCCATTATATTCCTTTAATAACTCATCATAGGATAAATCATCAAAATCGGATGAGTTAGAGGTTACCTTAGAATCTTCCCCAAATGCCATCAAGCACAAGTTAGCTACTTCTTGTTCCTCTTCATCGGAACTTTCTTCATCGCTCCATGTAGACACATGAACCTTGTGCTTATTCTTTGATTGACCCTTTTTCTTCAATTGTGGGCAATCATATTTGACATGCCCTGGCTTTTTGTATTCGTAGCAAATGATTGGGTCCTTCTCTTTTGGTTCATTTTTGAGGCCTTCATTTCGTTTGAATTTTCTTCCTCGATAAGGTCTCATCATTTTTCTGAACCGTTTGGCAAACAATGTCATTTCCTCGTCATCGTCATCGTTATTCGAATCACTCTCATCTTTTGTGGATTTGAGAGCAACTCCAATGTTTTTCTTCTTCTCATTCTCTTCTGGTGTCTCGTCAATCTTGTCGAGGTCCACCTCATATTCGAGCATCATTTCATGAGTGAGGAGTGACCCAATTAGCTCTTCAAGAGTTAAGGACGTTAAGTCCTTAGACTCGATGATTGCCGTCTTCTTTGATTGCCACGATTTTGGGAGGGAGTAGACTAACTTCCTCACAAGCTTTTCATTTGAAATGATCTCTCCATATGATTTGAGACCATTGACAATCGTTGAAAATCTATCCGTCATAGCTTTGATATCTTCATTTGGTTTCATCCTGAAATTTTCATAGCTATGCGTTAGAATACTAATTTTAGATTTCTTTACCTCATCGATACCTTCATGAGTGACTTGAAGTTTGTCCCATATTTCTTTGGCGGTTGTACATGATGAAACTCTTCCGTATTCATCTGGTCCAAGAGCACAAAAAATGATATGGATGGCTTTGGAGTTGAGCTGGAACATTCTTGTCTCTCTTTCACTCCACAAACTTGGATGAGTGAGAGGTTTGATGTATCCTTATTCTACAGCATTCCATGCTCCCATGTCACTTGCTTGAATGAAGTACATCATTCTATTCTTCCAATAGGAATAGTTAGCTCCATTGAAGAAATGAGGCTTATTGACGGGCATCGAGTCGAGACTGAAGTCGAAGTTTGAAGCGGAGGCCATTGATGACTTTGATTATCGATATAACTCTTCCCGAATCAACCTAAGAGGCGATTAAACCTTCAAATGAGTTAGGCTCTGATGCCAATTGTTGAGTTAATCGATTGACGGAATTGGCCAAGAGGGGGGTGAATTGGCAATTAAAATTTTGGTGGAAGCTTTTACAGAAAATTGAAAGTAATTGCACAGCGATTTAAAGTGGTTCGACTTTCTCAATCAAAGTCTACGTCTACTACCTTAGCTATCCACACTAAGGATTTTCTAACAAATTCACTAATTTGTTCTTTCTTTTAAGGCCAAAGAGATAACCTTACAACACCCTCAAGAATATACCCCAATTCTTGAGAACACTCTTTCCCAAAGAGAAGATTACAAATTTGCAAACTTACAAGGAAAACCTCACAAGGTAAGATGTTTGCACAATTCTAGAACAAGAAAAGAACACACACAAATAATTACAAATGAGCACAAATGGTGTTCTTTGAAAGCAAAAAATGTTGAAAGGAAAATTGGCTTGATTTGCACAAACTTGGTGTTTGATGCTTTCTCTCTTGTTTCTCTATTATTTCATGTTGATCAAGGGCTTCAGAACTTGTTTAAATACACCTTGAATCACTTCTGAACGTTGGGGATGATTAGTGAAGATCATATAGCCGTTTTAGTGTGAAAACAATTAATAAAACATCTTGGAGCATGGGGGGAATCGGTACCCCCTATGGGGAATCGGTTCCCTAAGTGTAAAATTCAAATATTTCGACCGTTATATAAGGGGGAATCGGTACCCCCTGGGGAGGAATCGGTTCCCTCTGAGCATACTGGAATTCTCGGAGCCAAACCATTCAGGGGGAATCGGTTCCCTCTGAGCAATCTGGAAATTTTGGCTTTGAAATGGTTCGAAATACTTTGTAAAATTATTTTGAAATTGTTTTAAGATTAAAACTTAATTTTACACTTTGAGTAAGGCTTAAAAATGATCTTTGAAAGATTTGGAGTAATATTTTGATATTCGAATAATTCTATCGAATATACTTAGAAAATCATTTGGAAAATCTTAAAATTCATTTAACTTAATTTGTTATATCGAAATATCAAAATATTTTCAACAATGATTGTATTTATTATTTTGAGATACTTATTTTGGGAGCTCCCGATGTAAACCTTGTTTGAAATTATATTGATTTCCTTTAGTTGAATGGGTTTTTTCTTATTGTATGATTTCACAAGTATTTAAAGAAAATAATTTGGGTTAGCCTCTCTGGTGGTCCCGTGTGACATTCTGATTGGTCGACTTTGTATCGTATCGAATTAGTGTATTACATTAGTACTCTAATTATCACTTTTATTCCATTTTGGTCACCAAATTATTTTTTTACATCATACCTAACGTTACGCTTAAGTTTCATTTTGGTCACCTATCATTAAAAAATTAAATGAACTACTGATGTGACATTTTTTATTTTTCAATGATAATGTGACATTATTTTATGGTGACACATCAACTTTCTATTAATTGTTGGCTCAATGTAGAAATAAGTGCCCAAATTATACCCTAAGTTAACTTTAGGTTCCTAAAGAACATTTCATTAAAAATAGGTATCTAACATTTCTGACATTACACTTTTAGGAGTCAAATGTTTTCTCTGTTATACTTGTAAGTACCTACGTAATAACGATCATTAAAAGAATCGTTAAATGACATATGTTATATTTATAATTTGGTTTAATTAAAAAAATGCACAAACTATACTCTAAGTTAACTTTAGGTGCACAAAGAATTTTTTGTTAAAAATAAGGTCCTAACATTTATGATGTTAAACTTTTAGGTGCATACACAATAATGATCATTAAAAAAAACCGTTAAGTGACACGTGTCATGTTTATATTTTTTGATTTTTTTTAAATTAATAATATTATTAATTGAAGAAAACAAAATTTTATAAAATTACAAAAAAAATCCTACAACTCAAAAATATCCCATTTCAGTCTCATTACGTTGTTGTTTGTCATCATCAACCGCCTTCATCATCGTAAAATGGCCACTCACCTATCGTAGAACCTCTACTACTAATCATTCTTCTTGTTGTTGTCACAATCCCTTTAAATCCATAAATCCAAACTTAAATCCCAAAACCTAATACGCAAATTTAATCTTAATCTCAAATTTATCATTCCCAGTTAACTTTAGGAATGCATGTGAAAGATAGAGGGGTTCAAAATGTAACTAGGAATGAGGGGAATTTTTGCGCAAATGAGGGGATGCAAAGACCAGGGGAATTTTTCTTTAAAAATGTTTTTTAAGTAATATTTTAACCTTTTTATAATTATATATATAAACGTGACGCATGTTACATAATTGTCAAAATTAACGATTATTATAATCTAGGTACTTAAAAGTATAATATATATAAATATCATACATTTATTTTTAGCGAAGAATTCTTTAGGCACCTAAAATTAATTTGGGGTATAATTTGAACACTTATTTTTTGCATTAAATCAAATTATAAACATAAGACGTGTCATTTAACAAATTTTTAACAATCGTTACTACGTCTGAACCTAAAAGTATAACGTATAAAAGGTTTTTGGCACCTAAAAGTCTAAAGAGAAAATGTTAGACATTTATTCTTAATAAAAAATTATTTAAGCACCTAAAATTAACTTAGGGCATAGTTTAGACGCTTATTTTTGCATTAAACCTTAGATTTTTTAAAGGAGGGTGGCCAAAATAAAACATAACTAAATATTAAGTAAAATTTTAAAGAAAAAATAATTTAGTGATGAAAACAAAACATAAGTGATAGCCGGGGACAAAAAATATAAATGCTTATAAAATTTATCATGGGAGGAAGCTTCCTGGAAGCTGGAATAGAACTTACACTTCCAAAACCATTTAATCACCCCACCTTGTCAGCTCTTTTGCCTCAATTTCTTTCTTCGTCTCTCCCTTTTGTTTCATCTTGAAAACAAACATGAATCTCATCGACAAGCTGAGCCCTAAACGTCTGTTTCGGTCTAATAAAAAAGACCGATCCGTCATCTCCAAGTTCGACCCTTCGTCGTCTAGTTCCGGTTCAGGTACGTTGTCTTCTTCCTCTTCGGAATCCATCTTTTCAACCCACCAAGGACGGCAGTACCCTTCGACGGCCACTGCTGGATTCGCAACGCCAACCAGTGTCTTGCCCCAAATATCAGGTGACCGGTCGGATTTTTCCGCTAAGTTTTATCAAGAACTTTGCCAGGCGTTCAAGATGATACACAAAGATAACGACGGGGTTATAAAGAGGAGCGAGCTTGAGGCTTTGCTCAGCAAGGTCGCGAGGCAGCCTCCGAGCAGGGAAGAGGTTTCCTTTATGCTGAGCGAGGTGGACGGCGAAGGCGACGGTTACATCAGCCTGGAAACTTTGATGGGACTGGCTTGCGGCGAACCGGCTGGGGAACGGGAACGGAGAGAGACTTTTGATATATTTGATACGGATCACGACGGGAGGATCACGGCAGAGGAACTGATGGCGTTTTACAGGGACAAAATAGGGGATAAGCGGTGCACTTTAGAGGATTGCCAGCGCATGATAGCGAGAGTCGATGAGAATGCATATGGGTTCGTCTGCTTCGAGGACTTTTCAAGAATGATGGAGCTGCAGAGATAAATCTTATAACTGCATATGGGGTTTTATTCCACAGCGTTTGATTATCGTGTGAGGAGAAAAGGAAATGATTTTTTTTTCTAAATTTGTTTTTTTTATTGTTAAATTTCTTAAATTAGGATATCGGGTGATAAAATTCAATCAAGTTAGTAAAACCAATTGGATGGTTTAAACTTCAAATTGATTGATCTGAATTCAATTGTTTTTACTTTTTCAAAAAGAAATGTAACAATTTCATTAAGTTGAACCAGTAAAGTTCAAAATTCATGAGCCAAAGCAACAGCAATCCCCATTAGAAGAGACATAATTTCTTTGTCTTACCAGAAATTTGCAGTCTTCAATAACATTTCCAAACGCAGACAGAATTAAATGGTTAACCCCGTTGTTAATGTCATAATTTTGTTAGACAAAATTAAATAGTTTACCCGCGTTATTGATGCGATAATTTAAATTTTATACATATTTAATTGATAATATGATATATGTTATACAATCACTTTAATGTGATAATTTAAATTTTACACATATTTAACTGATAATATAATATATACTACATAATCACTTTAGTTGATGTAATTTATGTCATATTATTATTTTAAATGACATTTTATATATTATATTATTAATTAAATATATGTAAAGATAGAAATTAATAGCATGCGTTGATTTTAAGTTGATTAACGGCTTTCATCTAATGAATATTATTTTAATTAAAATTTAATATATTTAAATTAAAAATATCTAAAAGAAAAGATGAAAATGATAATTTATATAAATGTTGAGGTTAATTTTGTTATTATATTTTTAATATGATAGTGCCAAATAAGTCTTTTCTCTTACCCGAAATCTCTGCGGAATTTCCAGAACAATGTTAACCCTCCTAATTGGCAAATGCACCTGTTGCCAAGTCAACGTTTTACTAAGAGATCAATGACCAATATATGTTTGAAAGCATCTAAATTAGACTGAAAAAACTTGTTTTTGTTCTTTTATTTTTTTAGGTTATATGTTTTAGACTCACTAGAATCATTCTTTTTTATTCTCTTAGAGTTCCTCCTTCTCCTTAATTCTAGTTAAAATTAGATTAAATTTAGAATTTATAAAAAAATTTGAGTTGTTATATATATATACAAAATAGATGTATAGCAGTCAACACACAAGATTACGAAATATGTTAGCTGCACGACTAGGGATGGCAAACGGGTACAGTTTCGTGGATTCCGCACCGCATCCGCTCCAATTGGAGTGGGGATGGGTATAATTTTAGCGGGTAGTGGGCGGGTGTGGATTTATAAAGTTGTACCCGTCGTGGGTGGTGGGTGGGTAATGGGTTTGAGACATTACCCACCCCGCATCCGCCCGCCCCACATCCGCCCGCCCAGCTAAATATCTAATAAATTTTGGACCATTATGAATTTAGGTGTAATTTTAGAGACTAATTTATAAATTTTAATATTATATAATATATAACATATAATTTAACTAAATATTAAGGATATTTAGTCTTTAATCTGGTATTTAATTAGGAAAATATTCGGCTCTTTGATTAAACTCATAATCTCACTAACCACATCACTTTCCATGTTCTTTAGCCCATGCTGCCCATCCAAATACAAATTAGCCGTACTATAAGCATTAACATCAAAAACAGCAGTTTCCATGTTCTTTAGCCCATCAAAACCCATATTAGGCGCACTATGAGCATTAACATCGAAAGCAACACAACAATCCAGCTCTGCGACTACATGCTCCCTACAATGTCTCCATAACATTCTTAGAGCCACTCATCTGACAAATTGAAGCATGCGCTGCTACCCCATCACGAACTGTCTGCGAACCAACTCCAACATCTCATTAGTTTGTTGTCAGGCGGGTCTAGATGGGTATGTCACTAGTGGGTAGTGGGTGTGGGGATGGATTTGAAAATGTACCCGCGTGGGCGGGTGTATATTTGAAAATTTGTACCCATCATGGGTGGTGGACGGGTGGTGGATTGAAAAATAGTAGGTGGGTATGGGGATGGGGGAAGTGGTATCCGCACCCGACCCGCCCGTTTGCCATCCCTATGCACGACGTATTTTTAAATGAAATTTGTAGAGAGAATAAATATCGATCTCAATTAGTTGATTGTATGAGTATTGTACATATTATATGTCCATATAATATATGTTCAGATATATTTTTAGCCAATTAGTAATATATACATATCATGTAGATGCAATTGTTCTAATTTAAGATTTTAAAAAATATTTTTTATTACTGTTTATTCAATAAGTTAAAAAAATCCTTAATTTGCCTAGGACTGAAGTTATATAAAAGATTATGGGAAGACAATATTGTTTTATTGCATTTAGCCATTGCCTGGGAAATTGTCATAAAGCCATTCATAATAATAAAGTAAAATGGTTTTCTGTCATTTGAAAAGAAAAGAGAACCATTCCAGCTAGTAAATGATTCGGAAATAGAAAACCAAGTGTTGATGATGACCCAATAATTGAATTTCTCTCAATCGATGAGAAATTTAGGGTGTGGAAGTGGATAATTTTAATCTCGTAATGATCAATAAAATTAAGATCGATCATGTTACACAAATTAAATTTCCTTAATGGTTAAAGGAATCATTATTATTTATAAAGGTCACAAATTTAAGTATCAACGACTAAAAAGCCATTGAACGTTCATTGTTCATTGTTAAGTGGTTGAGAATATTTAAAATAGATATTTTATAATCAAATTATATTAACAAAAAAAAATCGGTCATACAATCTTATAAATTCATAAATTTAAATTTTATTATAAATAATATTTATTAACTGGATGTTCAAATCAATCTTATCAATGTTTTACCTTTCATATTTAACGAATGATAATTGTCATGATATCTCTTAAAGTTGAAAAGAAACGACTCTCAAACTTTAAGTGATAAATAAAATATTTTTAAAATCGTCATCGACTTTTAGATTAAATAAATTGAATATCTAAAAAATTATCTTTTAAATAAATTCTAAGAAAAATCTTTAAAAAGAAAGAATTACTCTGTGTAACCATAAATTAAATTTTAAGGATTTAGGTGTCGATTACGCATGGATAAATATTAGCACCCGACATCGTCCAAAATAGGTTACTTAATCACTTATACATTGTCGTAGTAATAGAAATTATGAATTCGAATTTAAATTTAAAAATATGATTTTTATTGAACATCGATTGATTTATTTCTAATTGAGTGAATTTTGGGGGAAAAGGCTTATTTTTAAAATATTCCATTCAAATTCGAAAAATGCCCTTTTATGTTGAAAAAATCAAGGGGATTACACATCCACCATTAAGAAGTCTATCCCATCGATTTCTCCAATAAAACAGCGTTGCTTTCTTTCTTTATGAAATAAAATTATGCGTAAATCAATTATGAATGTATCGAAATATCTCATGGACGAATAATACCTCAAAGTATGTTAATTTTGAAAATTTCCCCTCTTTCAATAGAACTACCTTTAAAAACATATACTAATGTGGTAAGGCAGGTCTGGCAGGAATTCATGTTATTATTGTAGGTCTACGGTTTGCGCTCGAAAACTGTTGGACGCGGATAGTTTTTTAATCCGATTCCACTATGGTCGTGAATAAGATATGAGATCGAACTGAGGACATCTCCATCCTTGGTTTTCATATCAACGAAGCCCGAAATATTTTTTTATTGTAACGAGTCTTTTGACATTAGATTTGTGCAATGAGATTGTAATGAAGTAGCACACTGTTTGGCTACTTTGGCGCTTAGTTCGGGTAGTTCATTATTCTTTGACTCATTGTCCAGAGATTATTGTTACTGCTGTATCCAGTGACTTTTTTTTTGGGTAATATATCACTTGGACACTATTTTCCCTTTACTTGGACTAGAAATAGTTTTTAATGAGGCCGCCTTTCCTTAAAAATATACCATTTTATACTTAAAATAGACACAATTTATTTCAAGTTAATCATTTGCTGGAATGGTCATATTGAATCGTGCAATCATAATTAAGAAGACTTTCATTACCATCTTAAATAAATGTCCTAAAAAATATACGAATAAACGTTGAAAAATACTATAAAACATTAAAGATATTTTATAAGAATTAAAATATATATACATAATTATAATACGTAAAATATACATAAAAAAATATGCATATATATATATATAATATTACATGCGTAAAATAATGTTTGCAAAAAGTTTTTAGTCTGTTTAATATGCATATATATGATATAAACTATAACCTAAATATATATAATATACATATATATGATATAAACTATAACCTAAACATATATAATATAGTTAGGGTACACATCCACATAAAAGTCAAAATGGATCAAAATGCAAACATTAAAAGATGGAAGGCCAAAATACAAAAATATAGAAACTTAAACAAGCTAGTAAATGAGGGACTAACTAAGAAAAACAATAACTTTAGTATCACAACATTAAACATGACAAGTTTTATAGCATGAAATGAGAAAATCATGCGATACAAGTATTGGAATCTCAATAAATCCACAAATATCAAATTGGACTAAAATGAAATTTCTTAAAATATAGTGTCAAATATCAAAATAACATAAAATAAGGGAAACCAAACAATAGTGAATAAAATGAAATAAATAGAAAGTAAGATGCATAAATTAAAGGACTAAAATTAAATTAATGAAAAATAAAGGAAAAATGCATAAAATTAAAGTAGTGAAATTTAAAGAATAGAAAAATAAAATTGCATAAAAGTATGTAAGAGGTTGATTTTTAGAATTTTACTCGAACCATAAATAACACGGATCATACTCATGATGGGTCACCGTGAGGTCATATGATCGATTTGTAATAAATTAAAGGTTAGTGTTGGAAGCAAAATAAGAAAAAATGTTAGGAAAAAAGAATATGAAAAATACAGGGGGACCAACTCTCAAGTATCGCTTAGTTAACCCTAAGTATATAGAGCTAGAAATATGGGTTAAAGCCCGTGGGCTACCCGCATAACCCGCGGCCCGTGCGGGCTTCGGGCCTCAAAAAATAAAGTTCATTTGAATTGCATGCTAATTAGCCCGGACCGTTAAACCCGTGGGTTTAATGGGTATACCCGCGGGTAG